ATTTGTATCAAAGAAAACAATCCATAAACAAAAAAAAAAATGACAAGATAACGAAACATCGAGTTAGAATGCTTTATCGTCTAACGGGATATAGAGACTCTAAAACTATTACAAGAGAACAGAAAAAGTTTCTACTTAAGAAGAATGCCCCTTATGGACTGCAATTCAGATACAACATCACTGATACCCTTTCGGTCTCTTGGGGACTCGATGGAACATGCTATTCCAATTTGAAAGATGAAATGCAGGCACTCCAGCATCTTCTGAGTGTCATTCGGGCTCCTTCCGATGTTCTCTCCTTGAAGAAGTAGTGAATCTGCAATTTCTGTAACTTCATCCGGGAGTGCCGCCTTCACAAAATTATGAAGGTTCAAGCTGTCACTAAACATGTAATCAGTGGGTCTCTTGCGTGTAAACATCTCTAACAAGAGAATGCCGAAGCTATAGACATCCCCATACGTCGTCACCTTACTTCCCATACCATACTCTGCAGTTCAAAAATCACAAATCATAAACATAAATTCATGAAATCATTCTCTCGGGTTACACTAGTTTTAAACTGAGAAGCATATGAGGACATTAATATACCTGGAGCTGCATACCCAACCGATCCTTTTATTCCGATGGAACTTACTTGATTTCCAGAAACGTTACTGGTTACTTTAGAGAGAAATCTTGCAAGTCCAAAGTCAGAAACGTGTGCAGTCAATTCGTTGTCCAAAAGAACGTTGCTTGGCTTGAGATCACAGTGAACTATCGGTGTTCCACAATGATTGTGAAGATAATCCAGTGCAGAAGCAACATCGATGGCTATGTCTAGCCTCTGAAGAATACTTAAACTTTTGGGGGCTTCTCGTACCTCCTCTGTTTGAGTAGTTGGATGTAACCACTCCTCTAAGCTCCCGTTGTTCATGAACTCATACACCAGAGCCTTGAAATCATTGCCGCGAAAATCAACACTCGAACATGTAGTTATGATCTTGACGAGGTTTCGATGCCGGATATTTCTCAAGGCCTCACATTCGGCTATGAAGCTCTTGGAAGCTCCCCGGCGTAACATGTTAAGCACCTTAACAGCAACAATCTGTTCTCTATCATCGTCAAGAAGTACACCTTTGTACACAGACCCAAAACTACCAACACCAATCAAATTTGCTGAAGCGAACCCATCTGTAGCTTTTAGGAGAGCGGAAAATGACAATTTCAAAAGAGAGTTTGACATTGTTGGCATTTCCATTTCTTTTCTTTTCTTCTTTCTTGAGGGAAGAAGAAATACAAGAGACAAAACCATAGCTATACCTATAACCCCGGACATTGAAATTATTAGTATCAAACTATGAGACAATCCTCCACCACCCTTAGCGTTGCACTCGGGCAGCTGAAGATCAGCAATGCCGCCACATAGCTTGGTGTTACCAATAATTGAAGTCACACTTAGATGTTCAAAAACACCTTCAACTGGCACTGCCCCATGAAACTCATTGAAAGACAGGTTTAGCTTCTTCAAGAAGAAAAAGCCCTCTAGAAAACTCGGAATTTCACCCCACAAATTGTTGCGAGAAACATCAAAATCTTGAATCCGTTCCAATGAGATAAAAGAAGAAGGAATCTGTCCCTTGAATAAATTGCCTTGCAAGTGTAGGACTTTGAGACTCAGACAACTGCCAAGACTACCAGAAAGTTCTCCGGATAACATGTTATCGGAGACATCCAATTCACTTAGATTCTTCAAGTTTCCATCCTCCAATGGAAAGGGACCAACAAAGTGGTTTCTTGACAAGTCCAAAGAAACTGACAAGGAGGGGAGGCCAATAATTTGTTGAGGTATTGTGCCACCAAGGTTATTTTGAGATAGATTCAAAAGTAGGAGCCTGTGACATTCTCCTAAGCTTGAAGGGATGCTGCCCTCAAGATTATTTCCTTGCAATAAGAGTATTGTTAACATTTTCAAATTTCCTAGAGAGGATGGGATGCTCCCTGATAAATGATTGTTTTGAAGACCTAATCGCCTAAGCTTTGAGAGTTTCCCAATGTCGGTTGGGATGTTACCTGTGAAGTGGTTGTTCCCCATACCCAATGATTCTAAGTTAACGAAGTTCTGCAAATTTGGCACCTGTCCAATGAGTTCATTCTCTGAAACATCGAATTCCGCTAGATTTTTGACATTGGATATCGAGAGAGGAATGGAACCAGTAAATTTGTTCCCATTGATGTAAAAGTACTGGAGATTAGGAAGAGTGTTGCCCAAGTATGAGGAAATACTCCCTTGAAGTTGGTTTCGGGATAAGTCAAACCCAACGAGAGCAGAGAGGTTATAAATAGATGGAGGAACAACACCAGATAATGCACATGAAGCCAATGAGATATAAGTTAAATTTCTCAATTGGCCTAGAGAACTAGGGATGCTTCCTTCTAAGTTATTATCATTCAAACGAAATATCTTTAAAGACAAGAGGTTGGCAAACGAAGGAGGGATTTCTCCAGTTAAATCGTTCACTTGCAACACAAGTAATTGAAGCTTAGATAAGGTGGAAATTTCTGGTGGAATTTTTCCCACCAGGTTGTTGTAACCAACATTGAGATTAATGAGGTTGAAGCAACTAGATACATTGACAGGAATAGGGCCAGTAAGCAAGTTATTGTCTAGACGCAGTACCTGCAATCTGCGCAAACGGCCAATTTCTGGAGGGATTTCGTCACTGAAGCTATTGTTTTGGAGGTGAAGTGCCCTCAGGAAGCTTAGGTTCCCTATCTGTGGGGGTAGGGACCCAACTAAATTTTGAGACTTTAGGTCTAACACAATGAGCCTCTGGTGCTGTTGTGGACTGCAGGCGACTCCGTGCCATTGGCAGAAGTGAACGGAATCATTCCATGAGCTTATGACCCTGTGAGGGTCCTGCTTTATTTGAGCTCTGATGGCCAGCAGTGCTAGCCTATCTGTCTCATTCCCTTGCTCTGAGCTCCAACAGCACAATAGTGCAGTGAAAAATGTGCATGTTAAGATCAATCTGTGAACAAAAGTGACCATTTTAGAGAGAGAGAGAGAGAGAGATTGGGTTGAGAGGTGAAAATGGTAAGTTTGATTTCAAACTAGGCATGAAATACTAATTTGAACCGTCTTGTTCTCTCTGTCACTTAATGCCTAATGATTCAGGCCTACTCAGTCAATGGTCTACTCGCTAGTCTTTTTCTTCTACAACTGTTGTTAGTCTTTGAGTGCTTGACTTTACTAGTCTACAAATTATGGTGTATTTTCTTACTTTAGAATTTTCCAAGAAAGTGAAAGAAAGACAATGACTAGGTTGAACAAAGACCGACCCCAACGTGTTGTTTACGGAGTAAGACTTGGACTCATGATGAGTGGTGGCTTTAAGGTTATCAGAGAAATTGCTGGCATGACTTTAGGTGCTTTGAAAATTTCGAAAATACTTGACTCATTGTTTGCAATGACTCATTTTTTTTATAGGTCAATTACAGTTTGGTACATAAGCATAAATTTATTTTGCGCTAATTTTTTTTTTTATGACTCCAGGTGCTTTGAAAATTTACGAAAACACTTGACTCGTTGTATGTAATGACTCATTTTTTTTATAGGCCAATTTCAGTTTGATACATAGGGATAAATTTCTTCTGCGCTTATTTTTTTTTTATGCTGTGTGTCAATCATGTGATTTACAAGTAACAACGAATGGCTTCTTAATTCTAAGAAGTTGGTCAACTTAGGAGCTCAAGTTTTCATCTTCAAACTTGGGCGACTTAGTGCTGTGTTAACAAAATGAGAATAAATTTGGTTCCCAATCCAATGACAAGTGTTCTTGCCCGAATTATCTTTACTTCTATTGCGTTTATAAACATGAGGGTTTTGAAGTTATTCATACTCATACCCATTCATTTTCTCTCAGGTCCTTTAAGGGAAGGGATCCCCATTTTTCAAAAAAAATGGGGACACATTTGACTTTAATGAAATTCTGTGGCTAAGATTAAATCACAGGCCACAGAATCTCAACCACAGGATTTCATTAAAGCCAAATCTAACGGTCACAAAATTGGTACTTCAACTTCTGGAGTTTGCTATCAGTCTGCATTCAAACCTGCTTGTATACCTATGCTATTACATTCTTCGTCTAATAGACAGCAACCATTTCAGAAACGAAAAAAAACCTAACCTTATTCACATGGTTTTCCTTTATTGCAGCAAATAACTAAACTATGCTAATGGTATCGACCATTTAAAGTTTTCTTCGGTTCATGAGATCACGCGATGCAGATCCTGCTCCGCTTTATCTGCACTGACCGAGAAAATATCAGCAGGTGCTCTGGTAGAGCCAAGAATGATATTCTTGGATTTACATTTCGAGGAGCTTTTGTGGTCATCAAGATAGACTACTATAACAGTGATGTCATCATGAAAGTGCCGCCTTGTTCCCTTTTTGATTTTCGTTATGTCATTGTATCTCATCTCCCTCTTCTTTGCAGCTTCTTGAAGAGCAGCTCTTACTAATCTCTTTGCAATACCCTGCAATTGTTAAGCCGATTTTGTGTCACAGAGATGTCCGGAATATATTTTTACAAATTCAGATTATTCAAGTCCTACTGTTATTATTACTGTAAACATTTATATCTAATTAGCGGAGAAATGAAACTTGGACCACTACATTTTCCTGGTGGCATGTTATTGTATGCAATAGGTGAAGTACGGGAACTTACAGCTCTTGGGTTTTTGAAAACAATTTCTACTGCTGCGTCATCGCTCAACTGTTCCCATAGGCCATCTGAGGCAAAGATCAAAAACATATCCTGTGGGTTAAGGTTCCTTGTAATGATTGAGGGCTCTGCAGTCATCACTGGCCGTTTCATGGGAACAGGGTTCGCAAATTGCTGGTATATGGGGTCTCTGTTAAACTCCGGCTTCTTTAAATAAACATCACCAATAGATCTTGACACCTGAAATAAAAGAACATTTAGACCATATCCTCCACATTTAAGTTTTAACTCCTATAGTGCTATCCCTAAACCCACAAACAAAATTGAAATATGTAATTAGCAACTATTTTACGCCTGAAAATTTGAAACAAAATATTCACAAGCTCAATAAAGTTTCATAGAGATAAAGAAAAGTAACCGCGCTATAATTACATTAGCTTCAGTTCTATGCTTCTGGGGGGTTCGTGTACATCTCATGCATGGAAAACAATCACTTCTAAGCATGAGATGCCGGATCAGGAGTTGGAGGATAAGGCTCCTGGAACATACAGCTCTCTTTAGAAATCTAAGAATACAAGGAACAAGTTGAACAAGTTTCATTCACTAAAGACATAAAACAATGTTTTGGATTCAGTCCGCAAGTTTTTCTAAGGCCACAATGCTTACTCCTAGATTACCAAATCGAAATTCACTACTTAAAAACTCATAATTTCACAACAAACATGAATTGTTTCATTAAAAGAATCCCACTGTACCTGAATTATGCCTTTTATCCTCCAAACTCCATGAATATACACCACAGCATGTGAATCATCAGGATGTAGTGCTTCAACCTCCTTCCTGACCTCCTCAACTCCCACATTGTGATCAGTGGACAAGCGTTCTGCCACCACCTGACTCCTCTTACCATCTGAAACTCTCCGGCCAAGGACAGCTCTCGAGTCCCCCAGATTGGCTACATATAGAACATCATTTGATATTGCTCCCACAAGGCAACACGAACCAACGGAAGCGATTTGGGGCATCATTGGCAAAGATCGCTTCACCAAATGCAAAAAACCCTCTTCAGTGGCACTGAATGCCTTCTTTATCACATCTGCTGATAATCCACCTTGCTCCATCGCAAATTCTATTAAAAACCCACAAAAAATCTCAGAATTTTGAACCAAAAAACAAACTCAAATTTAAGTCTTTGAACTACCAACCCAATTTCATCATATACCCTTAAACCCAATTCAAACATTCTCATTCAAATATTGAAATTTCAAGTCTTTTGCTTAAAATACAGCAGAAAAAGAGCCATACTGTGTAAATATGGGAGGAGATGGTTGTTGGCGAATCTAGAAGCTTCGGGACCGCCATGGCCGTCATAAACACCAACATACGTTGCAGAGGGTGAGGAGAAGACCTGACCTTGGTCCTCCAAATTCGAATTGGCCTGAACCACAGCGATCGAGTAGTCACCGGAGGCGTGGGGCTTCAAGTCCATGTGCCAAAGGCCATCGCCTCCGCCCCCAGCACCAGATCGCAACCCCAAACAGCGCTCGAGCAGCCTGTAGCACGAGCGCAGCATTCTGTCTCAGTTCGTCGTCTCCGTTCGTGTATTCTGGGTTGCGCTTCGATTTGGGTTTTTAGCAGTCGATGCGTTTGAAAATGATGGGAAAGATGACAGAAATTCGAGAGGTTTTTAGGGAGAGAAAGGGAGGAGAGAGATAGAGAGATGACCAGGAAATCAAAGTCGTGGGGGAGACGCGTGAAGAGGAGGGAAGCAGAGCTAGCTGAATATGAATCAGGAATCGACGAATCCTACCTTTCATACGCTCAACTCTGCCGCGTTTTTTTTTTTTTTTTCATTTTTTTTCATTGGTTACCTTTTTCTTTTTCATTTTGTTATTTTTTCCTTATATTTCGGTCAAAAGAAAAATCTCATATTTCACTCTGTCATTATCTAATGTGTACAGATTAGTAATCATAAGGCGAATAATTTCAGAACTTGCTCCATGAAATTAATTACGACTTTAGCACCTAAATATAAAAAAATTATTCACAATTTTTTTTAAATATTTTTTGAAATTATAATTGGTTTTTTTTGTGTTTACCGGGAGTTTATTGTATTTTGCTTTAATCTATATATATAAAGTGAGAGCCCCAGTTTGGTGAAGCTTTCAAAAATGCCAAGAAAGCCCCTTCGTTTTCTTCACAATTGAAATCCAAAAAGTTAAGAAAATAAGGACAAAGTGGTAAAAAAACCATAACTGGAAGAGAGAGCATCAAAGCGGAAGTTGCAGGATAAGGAATGAGAATTGCAAACGTGGGATTCAAACAACCCTCCACGTTCTACGAACTACCAACCAGATCAAAGCCGGCACCTCGATTTCAATTCCTATTCTTTCACATCCTTCCCCCTCACTCCCAACACCATCTCCACTCCCTCTCTCGCTCTCTCTAAAATCTAAAATTAAATCACGGTGTGTTTCTGAATGCAGGGAAGAGGAATTCTCGAAATTTAGCTTTGCGCAGGCAAAGTGTGGGCTTTGAGAGCGAGCCAAAACTATCTAGCGATTCGATGGAATCGGAGAAGGAATTTCCAGGGTTGAACCAGAGCCTGTACTCGACTATTGAACCTACCCTCTAGAGAAAAGCTTGACGGAGCCGAAACCGTGACCAACCGTCATCCGCTTTCTCCCATAACATCATACGCTTATTCTCGCAACTCTCCTCGCAGTCCACACCGTACGATCAATCTCTCTCTTTATTTATTTATTTTTCATAAATTTAATGATGATGTTCTACGGCGAGATTCAAGTGGGTTTAATCCTCCTGATTAGTTTTAATTGCATCAGGGATGCCTTCGGCATTGTGTTCGACATCGACGGCGTCGTTTTACGAAGCGAAGCTCCCATCGGAGGCTCTCCTCGGGCCTTCAGAAGATTGTACGACGATTCTGGTACCCCCATTTCTTATACCCATCTCCCAATTTTTGATCTTTCTGGGAATTAATTTCTGGAATTTTAAATTTTTTTGCTAGGTAATCTCAGGATTCCATACGTGTTCTTGACAAATGGTTAGTTTCTAATTTGTAATTTTTCCACCTGGTATAATCCAAATTTTTGTTTTTTTTTTTTTAATTAATTGTTTTAAATTTTTGGGTTTTTTGGTTGTGATAGGAGGTGGGATTAGTGAATCCAAAAGAGCCCTTGAGTTAAGTTCACTTTTAGGAGTGAAGATTTCACCTTTACAGGTATATTTTTGTTGAGGGTTTTCATAAATTTTTATAATTTTAACTCTTTTATCCAGATTTGTGTGCTTTTTACCTCTTATTTTTATGTAATTTTACCTTTTTGTTGATTGCGTGGTGTTGGATGCAGGTTTTACAGGGCCATACACCTTTTAAGCAGTTACTAAACAGGTATGTAATATGATGCATATAAGCTGAGTTATGGGTCAGAAAGTAAATTCTTGCTGTACAAGTTTATACTGTTTTCTTTTGCGTTTGATCGAGTATTTGCAGTGCTGGCATGGTTCATTTTTCTGTGCTACATGTATATTCCTCTAGGCTAAATGTGGGAATGAATAGTTATACATGGTGCAAATCAACTTGAATTATGCATCTAAGCGTATGCATTTCAACCTTACTAAATGGTCAATAGACTCACTACGTAATTTGTCTGAGAGAGAGATTTCCTTATATTCTTCTGTTCAAGATTTTCGGTTTGTGTTGTGCAGATTTGAGAATGAACTCATTGTTCGCTTTCTGTCCAAAACTAAGTATTTCACGGTACAAAACCAGAAACTTGAACGGACATCCATTGCAAGCATATCCCCTGATCATGAAATTCCATAGGAACAAGTTTTTCAGTAAAATCCCACAAAAAACTGCTGCGCTTGGGGCATTTTACCGCAAAATCTCTCTGGCTTTAATTCTTTGTTGTTTTATCCTTTCTGTGTGAGATTCTATCTTATTTTTTTATAATCTCTGCATTCTTATTCATGTGCTTATAACAACCATTTATTGATTATTATTTTTCTTGCAGTTCCAAGCTTTTGATGAATTCCAAATGGTTGCGATTTATTAGTTAAAGATACTTCTTGCTTTTGTATGGCTAGCTGGTGTTATTTGGGTTTAATTTTAGTTATAATGGGAGACAGGGCACATTAGTTATATCTGTGCTCATTAATTGATTAGGATTAGTATAGTAGTCTTTGCTAATTTATGCATTTTTATTCTTTGTACTATTATAATCGTCCTTACATATGTTGGGACTAAATTGAATAATAATGCTTCCTTTTCTACTCAGTGAAAACACATACCAAAGCAACAAAGCTATGATGGTGGGAATAATCATTCTCAGGTATGTATGATATGAATGTGTGATATGAATTAGTTTGCCAAAGTTCATTGTAAGTAGATCGTACATATTTGATTATCTGGGATATTGTAACTGTATTTCGGTTCATACTGGGGAATAGATTGCTTCTAATTAGAGTCTTTATGATGCTCACTATCAGTTCTCGCATGTATTGGGCAATGCAGTTTTGTTGGTTCATGTTAGGGAATAGGTTGCTTTTACTTTAAGCCTTTCTGATGGTCGCTATTAGTTCTCGCACATATGGGCAACGAAGTTTTGTTGTTTATCAGTTGTAGCAACATACTAAGTCATGATTGTTGTAACTGCAGTAAAGCGGCAATGGAGACCCGGCATCAGCATTTTCAAGTTGATCTGGGTAATCTCATAGCCTTCGACCCTCATCATAGATTCCCCTCCATCCCCTTCTCCAAATTATTTTTCTTTACTTATTCAATATCTCTATTTTTTGGTAATATTTTGTATACTTCTGGGCTTTTTGAAATTATTGCTCTTGAGAAATTAATTGAAAATTTACTTTTGGAAATTGGGATTTTATTTGGATTAATCCCATCAGTAAAGTGGCAGTCATAAGTGAAATAATGAATTTATCACACTATGCTGATGGGTTTTTGTTCAGTGGGTGAAATTTTGATTTGTGTTTTTTCATGGTATTTAGGGAGGCATTAGTGAAGGAATGTATAAAGAGAGGGACCGAGTTGGTTTAAGCTATTGCGAATAGTCTTTTCAACTCACATTCAACTGAAGGCATAGACGGTCCCATTGTGCACATGTTCGCTTCCTGAAACTAAGCTGCCAAGATAGAAAGCATGTGAGTCATTCATCTTATGATTCTCCAACGATTTTATTTTATTTTATTTTTTATTTTTATTTTTTAGGTTTGATCATGTATATGAGCATTTGGTAGTGAAACATGTATAGTGCTTCACAATTGAAAAGAAGTGGAATGGTAGTTTCAGGTAATTGTCGAGATTTTTGTTGATCCTCTTTTGTTGTGCTGCCAATTTACGGTTCCTATCATGTAAATTGGTTGACTAAAATGTTAGCGTATGCAAAAAACTTTTGCCAAAACAAAGGGTAAATCATTACTGACACTGTAGGAATTTTGAAACGTGTAGGTGGACCGTATTTGATTGAGAATAAGATACCGTGCAATATCGATTTTGGAATGAATGTTGGGGATGAGGTATATATCTTAAACCAGATTACTTAATTATAGTTAAATTAACTTTTTTTTCTTTTTCTGTTATGTAGCTGAAGCAGCTAAAGTTGAGTGTTTTAATCGGTTGTATATATCACCCAGTTTACCTGTTCCTACAGCTGCTCAACAGGGACGAGTTTCACAGCAGGTGAGTGAAAATTCTGGGTTCTTAATTTTCTATTTTCTGATTGAAATTTGATGGTATATCTGATTCAATTGGAAGACTAAGCTAAAAGTACAAGTGCTATTTTTTGGTTAATTTGTTGGTTTTTTGGATGGCTTTTCTGGGTTGTTGTTAATTGTATGTTTTCTGATTGAATTTGGCATCAATTTATCCAATGGATTAATGAGCTAAAACTACAAGTGGGGTTGTTTTGATTTTTGGGTTGTTTAATTTTCTGTTATTTTATTATGAGAAAATAAGGATTTGAACATGTTAATTAGCTAAGAATTAGTTTACATTGGACAATATATATGATTTTGGATTCGTGTTGGTGTAGCTAGGGACAATTATATCTGTGGATGGATGTTGGGTTGGAAGGTCTACTCATAAAGAAGAACAAATCTAAGGGTAGAGTGAAACTGAAAAGCAGCCAAACTTAAATTGCAATTTGCCAAAGAGCACGATTGGCCCTTTGTTTTAAAATTTTCATACTTCTCATTCTTATGTACCCTTATGTATCGGTAACGTGTATTCAACTTTAAAACTTTATCCGAAACCATTTGGTGGGTGTTTGGAATTTTGGAATTAGATTTTCAATTTGGTTTGTGAATTGCTAACTTTATCAACTCCTCTTGCTTAACCTCAATTATTTCAGTTGGCATTGGTTGCAGACCCATTTGTTGAGGCTCGAAGAAAAAGGAAGTGGGGAAAGTGTATTCTTGCCATAGATTTTCTGTTGGGAGTGAGTGTTGAAGAAAAGGGAAGGTGATAACAGCGGAAGAGGTGGCTTTTTGCTTTTGGCCTTTTGTTTTCTTCATTTTGCTTAATGTTGAGACTTGAGAAAAGAACTTCTAATGTTGAACCCCAATTCGAGAAGATAATGTGAAGAAAACAAATATTCGTAATTGTTATTATGTCCAAGATCAAACCAATTATGAACAATTGCTGTCCTCTAACAAAAAAAAATTTGACCGATGTTTAGTTATTCATAATCTTCTTCGTAATCTCAAATATCCATGTAGTCCAAAATCATCCCTAAACACCAGCGGGGTTCGAGAAGGATTTTGAATATCATAACAGTTATTCATAATTATGATTTTGTTAAAGAACCTTGCGTACATGCATTGTTTTGTTTTGTTTTTTTTTTTTTTTTTTTATCCATTTGAACCAAATCATCCCATCCCCATTTGCACCCCAACGACCAACAAAGCACCCCAAAATTTCTTAAGTTGTGTTGATCACAAATTATTGAAGATCATATCCTTAAACTAATGAACCAAAATTACTAAAATTTTAAGGATATCATAACATTTTAGAGCTTATATGTGCATTGTTGAGTTATTAGAGCAAACTAATAAATATAATGAACATACATTGAATACAAATTCTTCTTTGTCATGTGGTAGTTTTTTAGCCTCTTATTACGGGTTACACATTTCTAAAAACTTTTTATATTATGTCCAGCCCACAAATGTCATTTATGATAGGGTTTAGGGGTATTAAAAAAGTTTAAAATTCTACTCATCCAATTGACATAAAAATTAAAACTCTATAAACAATGCTAATTTATAAAAGAAAAAAATATGAAAGCTAAATCATATCCAAGTCCTAACACCAACCGAGAAGTGTATATAAGCCCGTCATTTCCTTGCACTAATACTTATTACACTTCAAAAGTATTTTGTGATCATTTTATTTTGTTCTTTTGTATTATAGTGATGTGTAGATAAATGTTTTTTCTTCTTCTGTTCATAGGCATCTACGTAGACTTTTTCGTATTTATGGAATGTCACAGAATTTGTATTCAATTTAGGTTCATTTATTTTTTAATTTTTTAGATAAATTTTTCCATGGAGCGTGGCCAAAGTCGTGCAAGACAATGGCGTCAATCATTGAGTCCTGAAGAACATCAAAGATATCTAGCTCGACGACGTCTAATAGCACAAGAAAAAAGACAACAAATTCCAACTCTATATGATGATCATACTATGACATCCCCCAGTAACATACAACAAGAAATTCCTGGTATTTATTTCATATTCCTTTTTCTTTAACTCATACTAATGCAAAAAAAAAATAAATAAATAAAATCTAATTTCTAATTTTTCTTTTAACTATGCAACAAGTAGGTCCCAATAATATACAAGAACGGGTTCAGTTGGCTAACTATGATGTTGAGGTCGACCCCATTAATATAGAACAACAAATTCCTGGTATTTATTTCAATTTCTTTATTTGTATTTGTTTCACACTTAAAAAATTAGGCTATTTTTTAAGAACAAAATTTAGTGAATTGAAATCTCATTGTATTCTTTTCTTCGATACTTTCATATTGATCTCAATGTTGTAGTTATTTTTAGTGGTAGTCTTACGAAATATTAGACTCACAACTAAATATATAAAATATTAAAGACAAAATTTTTAACTAATCGTATTATAATGTGGTCTATTTATTAGAACAAATTGAGCATGAAAGCGCGAATTCAAGGGTTTTGTCAGATATCACAAATCATGATGACCAAACTTCTACTAGAATGCGTACTCATATGGGACAGTTGGCACATTCAAATAGGTCACAAATATCTTATGGGATGCTCTCAATTCCTTCCCACAATGGTGAGCTTAGTATTAATTTTATCTTTATATAGATATGTGATTAGTTACAAAGAAAATTCTTATACTGAATGTTGGATATTCATGTAAAAATATCAGAAGAAGAACATGCAAATAGAACCAATTGTCATGTGCGCCAAACCAGAGGAAGAAGAAACCACAATTGTGCTAGAAATTATAATGAGAATCGGGGTATCCTAGGTTGCCAATTATCTGCTCCAACCACATGTCCGTACTGCTATGCACGATTGTTTGCTCGAGAAACTTTGAATATGTGTTGCTTGAAAGGAAGAATTGTTTTACCCCCAATACAATCCCCACCAGAAATGGTTGCTCTTTTCTCTGACCAAACAAATGAGGGTAGACACTTCAGGCAAAATATTCGAGCTTACAATCATGCATTTGCATTCACCTCAATGGGAGTACACGTGGATGAAAGAATTAATATTGGTGGTCGTGGGATTTACACATTTCGTGCTCAAGGTGCATTATATCATAAGATTGGTGGACTTTTACCAAATGAAGGGAACAGACCGCGATTTTTACAAGCTTATATATATGACACTGAGCATGAAGTTGAAAACCGAATGTGTGAAAGTGAAGTTTTAGATAGACGTGTGGTTGAAAAGATACAACATATGTTGAACAACCATAATCCTTTTGTTCATACATTGCGAAGCCTCGGACAACGTCAAGATTTGCCGAATTGCAAGTTGATCCTAAAAGAGCAACCAATAGATCGGCGTCAGTATAGTCTACCATCAGCATCACAAGTTGCGGCAATTATAATAGATGGAGATAATGCCACAATTCCAAATGGAAGGGATATCGTGGTGGAGACAATTAGTGGAAGACTTTCTCACGTCCGAGACTATGTTGGATTTTATGATCCCTTACAATATCCACTATTGCTGCCTTACGGTACATATGGATGGGATGTTAACAGTCGTGATGATGGTGGAAGAGCAATAACATGTTGCGACTATTATGCTTATATGTTACAGGTTTGTACTCATAACATAATTTACTTCCCGGTACATATAGATGAATTATGATTCCTATATTAAAAGCAATATATGAAATTTGCTTTTGTAGATACGCCATAATGGATCATCACTTTTGCTTCGAGGTGGATGTCTCTTGCAACAATATGCTGTAGATAACTACATTAAAATTGAATCACAAAAACTTAGATGGTTGCGTTCTAATCAAGCCACAGTTAGAGCAGATCTCTACAAAGGACTTGAAGACTCTCTAAATGCAGGTCAACACAATGCAGGTATATATATTGTTTCATTCATCGTTATTTAGAAATATAACTTTGTTTAAAGTGTGTACAATATATATAGCTAATTGAAAATAAAATATTATTAGGTAGCATCGGGCGTAGAATTATTTTACCATCATCATTTGTTGGAAGCCCACGTGACATGCACCAACGATATCAAGACGCAATGACTTTGGTTCAAAGATTCGGAAAGCCAGATCTTTTTATTACCATGACATGTAACCCAAGTTGGGAAGAAATCAAAAGCGAATTACTCGCTGGACAAACTCCACAAGATCGCCCTGACTTACTCACTAGAGTATTTCGTGCAAAACTTGAGCAACTAAAAGAAGACATCATTGAAAAGGGGGTATTGGGCAGTGTTGTTGCTTACGCATACGTTATTGAGTTTCAGAAACGTGGTCTTCCACATGTGCATATGCTGGTTGTGTTAGATGAAAATGATAAGATCAATAACCCAGATGAGTATGACCGAATTGTTAGAGCTGAAATACCAAATGAAGATGTAGAGCCTCAACTTTATAATGTGGTGTTAAAGCATATGATTCATGGCCCGTGTGGGATTCATAATCCTCTATCTCCATGTATGAAAAATGGGAGTTGTAAGAGAAAGTTTCCCAAACCATTTGCACCAGTCACCGTTCAAGGGAATGATTCGTATCCAATTTATCAAAGGCGAGGAAATCGATTGCCCGTCTCACTTAATCGACAAGGAAACATAATGGTTGATAATAGTTGGATCATTCCATATAATCCATGGTTGCTGTTAAGGTATGATTGTCACATCAATGTCGAAATTTGCGCAAGCATAAAAAGTGTCAAGTACTTATATAAGTATGTTTACAAAGGCCCAGACAGAGTGACAGTTGAAGTGCAATCAGACCCTCAGTACGATGAAATAAAGCAGTTTCAGGATGCAAGATGGGTTTGCGCACCAGAGGTTTCTTACCAAGAATCCCTCTCAAAAGTACTGATACTGCTGGGCTTCCATTTGAACTTACAAGAAAGCAATTTCCAGTGAAACTAAGTTTCTCTATCACTATAAACAAATCTCAAGGTCAGACAATACCACATGTAGGCGTTTACCTTCCAGATCATGTCTTCAGCCATGGACAATTATATGTGGCTTTATCGAGGGGGGTCTCAAAGTCAACCACAACCGTGTTAGTAAAAAGTGGCTCCATAGTAGGCCAACAAGGTGTATTTACACGGAATGTAGTATACAAAGAAGTCTTGCTTCATTCCAGCTAATTATGGTGATTCCTAATAGGTAACAGCTTTATTAACGATAACCTTTCAGTATGCATTTCTCACTTATCAATTAACTCTTTTTATTTGATTTTTAATTTTCTCACTATCGTTTGTAGATTGGCAATGAAAATTTGAAGCATCAATCATGAACAAATGGGTGGAAATTGCAGCATTGATGTCAATATGTAAACTTTCTTTTCAAAAGAAACAGTGACATATACACTCTATGAGTATTGTGAATAATGTACATATTGTTATGTAGGATTTATATTTTGACATTTAAATTGTTTTGTATTTTGCTACGAGTACTTACTGTTTTCATCTACTATTTTTTATTTATTTACATATACTTGCTATCGTTCATAGGCTTTAGGTAGGAACTTGCATCTAAAATCGTATGTTGTTTGATAAGTGCATGAATAACATTTAAATAATTACTTTACACAAAGTAAAAATGAAAAACATGATAACTTTTTAGGACGCGCATGATAAAAAAAAAAAGTTCCTCTTTGCACAATACATTTAAAGTATATATTGACAATTACAATGGGAAAAACTAACACAATACACCTTTAGGGGCGCGTAGCGCCCGTGATGCAAAAATGCCTCTCGCACGCACGTTAGTGCGTGCAGAGAGGCTAGTGAATTAGAATACATGCACCGCAACGTACAAACTTAGGCCTGGCAAACGGATCGTGTCTATCGTGTTCGTGTCGTTTTCGTGTAACACCTGTTATCTTAACGGGTCGTGTC